TACCACCTCCATGGTCCCCCTTGTACAACATCTGTACCACCTCCATGGCCGCCCTTGTACAACGTCTGTACCACCTCCATGGTCCCCCTTGTACAACGTCTGTACCTCCTCCATGGTCCCCCTTGTACAACATCTGTACCTCCTCCATGGTCCCCCTTGTACAACATCTGTACCACCTCCATGGTCCCCCTTGTACAACTATGTTGAGACATTTCAGTGAGACAGCACTATAAAATCTTTGTTGAATATTTGTTAGGGAGTAGGAAATGACAGGACTGGTATATTTGTTAGGGGGTAGGTAATGACAATACTGGTATAGTTGTTAGGGAGTAGGTAATCACAGTACTGGTATATTTGTTTGGGAGTAGGTAATGACAATACTGGTATAGTTGTTAGGGAGTAGGTAATGACAATACTGGTCTATTTGTTAGGGAGTAGGTAACAAAAACAAAGGATTGCAGTCTTGGTTCAAACTGTAAAAAATGTTAATCTCATATTGACCATTAAAAAGTAAGCTTTCAAACACAAATTTATACGGACAAATGAAAAGCAACATTGCAAACACATACATAATGAATGATGATGGGCAATCTTTCAAGCTTGGTGGAGTAATTGTTCCCGACTCCAGCCCTTGTGTACGAGAGTGTCTGCCAAACAGAAAGGGACCAAGGAAGTAAATCTTGCTCATGTCAAGAAACAAAACAGAAATTTGTGAGAGGGAAGTCGGATGTAGACCTAGCCTGTGACTTGAGATAAGATATGTCTGTATTCAGGAAGCACTATTGTCTGTTACATCCACATTGGAAGTAAACAAGACGGTAGCTTTTTGGTTCCAACCTGGCTTGGTTAGACTTTGTGCAATGTGTGGTCTAATGCTGTGAAATGTCAAATGTATGACATGTAGCATCTCTTGAGTAAGCACTAAAACGTCTGTGTTATTTCAGTGAGACAGCACTATAAAATCTATGTTGAGACATTTTGGTGAGACAGCACTATAAAATCTGTGATGAGACATTTCAGTGAGACAGCACTATAAAATATGTGACGAGACTTTTCAGTGAGACAGCACCATATAATCTGTTATGAAATATTCCAGTGAGACAGCACCATATAATCTTTGGTGAGACATTTCAGTGAGACAGCACTATAAAATCGTTGAGATATTTTAGTGAGACAGCACTATAAAATCTTTGTTGAGACATTTCAGTGAGACAGCACTATAAGATAAATGATGAGATATTTTGTTGAGACAGCACTATGACATCTGTGATGAGGCATTTCAGTGAGACAGCACTATAAAATCTGTGATGAGACATTTCAGTGAGACAGCACCATATAATCTTTGGTGATACATTTCAGTGAGACAGCACTATAAAATATGTGACAAGACTTTTCAGTGAGACAGCACCATATAATCTGTTATGAAATATTCCAGTGAGACAGCACCATATAATCTTTGGTGATACATTTCAGTGAGACAGCACTATAAAATCAGTGTTAAAACATTTTAGTGAGACAGCACTATAAAATCTTTGTTGATATATTTCAGTGAGACAGCACTATAAAATCTATGATGAGACATTTCAGTGAGACAGCACCATATAATCTGTGTTAAAACATTTAAGTGAGACAGCACTATAAAATCTGTGTTAAAACATTTAAGTGAGACAGCACTATAAAATCTTTGTTGAGATATTTCAGTGAGACAGCACTATAAAATCTATGTTGAGATATTTCAGTGAGACAGCACTATAAAATCTATGTTGAGACATTTCAGTGAGACAGCACTATACAATCTATGATGTGATATTTCAGTGAGACATAACTATACAATCTACAATGAGATATTTCAGTGTGACAGCACTATACAATCTGTGATGAGGTATTTCAGTGAGACAGAACTATAAAATCTGTGTTAAAACATTTTAGTGAGACAGCACTATAAAATCTTTGTTGAGATATTTTAGTGAGACATCACTATAAAATCGTTGAGATATTTTTGTGAGACAGCACTATAAAATATATGATGAGACATTTCAGTGAGACAACACTATAACATTGTAGAGATATTTTGGTGAGACAGCACTATACAATCTATGATGAGACATTTCAGTGAGACAGC